TTACAAGCTCTTATGGGATTTTACGATCCAGTGTGATAGAATGATTGAGGCAAGACGACTGGACATTGTGTTAGTAGATAAAAAGAACAAAGTAGTCAAAATAATAGACATCGCCGTACCGGGAGATTCACAAGCTAAAGCGAAAGAACTTGAAAAAATTGAAAAGTACCAGTATTCGAGGGAGGAGATAGGACATGTATGGCAAATGAGAACCGCTACAGTAGTACCTGTAGTGATTGGAGCATTAGGAGTTATCTCGGACAAGTTTGAAAGGCATTTTGAAAAATTGGGAGTAAAGATTGCGATAGATATTATTCAGAAAACAGCACTGCTTGGCTCAGCTATGATTTTGCGAAAAGTTTTATCTCTTTAGAGATCACAAAAAAAAACTTTGAGACCCTTGGTGACTTGTTGTCGCCCGCTTTCAAAGAATAACATATTAGAATATTCCAGAGAACTTTATCTGTGATGGACATGAGGGACAAACATATTGGAAACTTTTCATTTTCAATTCAATTAAAACTACAATTACAAATTTCACTATTACAAAGGTAATTTGCAATTGGCTAGCCTGGGTTTAAAAAGAAAAAGACTATTACAAGCACAAACAAAAGAAATTAACAACAACAAAAAAAGGAAAAAGTGTGTTCGTCATTGTTTGTTTTAGAAGCTGCAGTAGCAGAGATCGTTAGAATTGAAGAAGCTCAGGATTATTCCAAGACTTATTTCTGCGGCAGAAAATGTAATAGGTAGTACGGATAGTTAAGTTGGATAGTTTGGAGATCATGAAGCGGAGATGATTCTCGCTGATATCTAGAGCGTTGCACATGTCGATTAAAGAGGAGCAGGAGAGACCAAAGATACCTAGGGAACTGATAGAAAGATTAACAAACATGACAGAAGAATAGGCTGGGCTTATTATAATAATAATAATAATAATAATAATAATGGAAACTTTTCATTTTGAATTCCAGTTAAAACTACAATTACAAATCTCACTATTACAAGGTAATTTGTAACTGGCTAGCCTGTTTTTACAAAATAAAAACTATTACAATCGTAGTAATGAGAAAAGAAAAAAAAAATGATTATAACAATAACTATACTAAAATGATAATAATAACTATAATAATAAAAATTATAACTATAATAATGATAATGATAATAACAATAATAAGAAATCTAAATCTCAATTTCGGAGCAGTTACCTTGCAACTGGGTACAACAAGCTTGGTGCTACGTATAAGCAAACCATTATTATGAGTAAATTTAATTCCTTGATTTCAGAAATATTCATTGAGTTTTGATGATTTTTTAGAACTTTGGCTTTATTTGTCGCTAAACAAGTCTTTTCCCTTTTGGGCTTTTGACAGAACTTTGGACAATCCAATAAGCGTTCAACGTATTCTTCATGGGAGCCACACCTTCTTCAAAGCGATTCAGTGTACTTTCCTTTTGTAGTCTGCTATTATCCTGCTATCCTTAGCTTAAATTTCGGTAGGGATGAGGCTTTCTCAAACCACAGATATTCTTTCATTTTAAACTTACTATCCTTTCTGAGCTTAGTTTCTTATTATTCCTAACTTTGTTTTTCTCGAGAAGGTCTTTTGCGCAAAATTACTTAAATCAAAGTCAGACAGAGTTTTTATTATTCAATGTTGAATTTTAATTAGAGTACTCATCGCCCAGTCGATTTTTGCAACTTGAATCCAAAATTTCATGAATAAGATTTGGACTAAAAATGCGAATATGAATGGAAAAAGTGATGTAATCCTAACATTTGACCTTCTCGATCGTGGTTCGGTAAAATATCAAGCTATTTTGAATTGACTTATTTTCGATAGTCGGCCTATTTTCGAGGAAATACGGTAGGCAAAACATAAAATACAAATCAAAAGACATTCTATTCAATTACACTGATGTTTCACACAAGCCGACGGCCCCTTGAATTCGCTAATTATATCCAGAATACCCGCCACTGCTTATGAGCGACTTTATCAGCCTAGTCTCATCGTATTTATCGGATGTATGATATACAAAGATGGTTCAAGTTTGTTTTTCTTTAGTAGTTATTAAATAGTAGCTCTTTCAACAACTTGAAAGTTTCAAGCATTGAATCGCCGTGGAGCTTGATTGATAATTAAACGATTTAAACCAATCAGAGACAACATGGATTCCAGAGCTTTTGCATCAAATGGCTGTGTTCACGTTGAAGTGAAGCTGTGGCTAGAAAAATTTTGTTCCCTGTTTGGTTTTTTCGACAGATATGTCAACAGCGAAAGAAAATGCTTCCATTATCACCAGTCAATTCCAGTATATAAAACTTAGTGTCATTCCCGATAGCTTTCTGCTCGCAGTTTAAAATGTTGTTTACTACCCCGCAGCTAGGCCCTCCAAATCTGTTAAGGCGGGAAGACCTATTTGTAAAATGTTGCTTAAATTGATTCTCAGGACCTTTTAAAAGTCAGAAGGATGGCCAATAAATGATGCGACGTAAATCGGTTAAATCTTTCCTTCTTTTCTTTCGATAAAATCGTCCCGGCAGCTACATAACTTGCATGCTAACAACGGCATAATAATTAACGCGTGACATGGGCATAATCTTTCACAAGAACTATCCCAGAGGTCTTCCAAAACTGATACATCTCCTACAAATATCTCAAAACGACTAAGAGGAAAACGAAGGCGACAAGATCTTTCACAAGCATCTTGCTCCTAAAATGGTGCATGCCTAAACTGCTTTCTCTTGCTGCTACTTTTCCATAATTCTTACTGCCCAAGATGAGGTACGGGGCTCCTATATATACTGAACTAAAAACAATAGACATACGTAAATGAAACGGTGAAAGGAAGTAATTTACTTAGTAACGAGCGGGGTGGGGTAGCGCGATATCCTTAAATACTGGGTTGCTATGGCGATCTACTTAACATGCTGATAATTGACGTAGGTATGAATTTACTTATTTTTTCTAGCTTTACATATTTATATGGATATATACATACAACTAATCTAAATCGAATCTACTGCAGAACAAAAGAGGAGGATATAACTAAGGAAAAAATACGTACATACATAAGCTAAATATATGAAGCAACTTGGATATGAATGGTCAAATATTACAGGATATTGATATCATTATATTTACAAACATTGCATTTGCAGCTAGGACCATCCCATCGTTTTATTATACGTTTGAAGCTGTTAAAATTGTCAGCTGATTTTAGTTCATTTGGCAGACAGTTCCAGATCTGAGGTCCTATGGCTTTAAGGCTCTTGGAACCGAAAGTTACTTGGTTTGGTCGAAAATGATTTAAGTTATTAGGATTCCGAGAAGGATGTTTTAATGCTCTTGAACTAAAAATGCTATGCATAAAAGGTGGATTCAAATTTCTAATTGTCTTGTATATTTCGATACAGAGGGTTCTCTGACGAGCAACTTGCTTTGTACACTTTTTTGACCTAGTAAGAAGATCATCATAGGAACTTTTCAGATCATTGTACAAAAATCTTAGCGCGCGTTCCTGTATCCTTTCAATTTTCTGAAGTGATTTTGAAGATGAAAAATACCAAACTTAAGGACAATAGTTAAAATTCGAGTATACGAAACTTTGAACCAGAACTTCTTTTTCAGCGAAACCAATAAATGACTTGAGTCGCTTAAGAACGTTCATTTGTGCCGCAGCTTTTTTACAAAGGTTTGATATATGTGGGTCAAAGTTCAGTTTGTAATCTAGTGTTACACCTAGGAGTTTGACAGTCTCTTCAGATTTGATAGAATGTGATAGAAAAATGCGGAACGAGCAAGGAAAGTTACAGATAAACAAGAATGATTAGGTAAGGAAAATTAAACAAATGGACTAGAGAGAAAGGCCTAAAATTAGCAGTATTACATATGTTCATATTAGCCAATCATTGAGGGAACAGACCAAGGGTGTATCCATAGAAATTGATGTAACACTTAAGGTGAGAGGAAATCAGAATCAATTTAGAAATTGTTCTATCCAGCCCAAGAACACGCTGGAAATTTTTACTACGTGTCACTGGTAGTCTGTATCATTTTACATTTGGAGTAGATAAATTACAAGCATAACCTACTTTCTTGTTACAATTACATTAGAAAACAACAAAACAGATCCGTTGGTAGAAAACATTTGCCCAGCAAAAAACAGTTTTGCCCTGCAAAAAGGTCCTACTTCTGTGGTAGGGGGGAGGGAGGGGGGCTGAACCACCCCTCCCATACCCGCCGTCAAGTGACGCCCCTGGCCCACGCCACCGGGGGGTCGGGGTGCCCATGACTCCCTCCACTTTCTTGCGAAGCAATAGTTTTAAGGCTGAAGTTAAAGGGGAATGTTTTGCGCTTCAAACACTTCAAAATAATCAAAAAAGAACATCCTCTGGTATTTCGCACTTATCTGTTCTAAAATGTCACAGCTTATTCGGTGGCGTAATGGAGTTTTGGGCCCCTTGGTTCGATTCGATACCTAAATTTCTATATCCCTGTTTTTAAGACTTCACTAACTTCATCTCATTTTCAAAAGTTTTAGCTTACTTCAGTTGAAGCTTCTAGTAGTTAACTTGGGAAATTATCATTTTACGTATTGCATAAGTGACATGCTCCACTTTCAGCGTTGGATTGGATTTTCTTGCAGTCCTTTAATAGGGGCTCCATCTCAGTTCTACCTTAGGACCCCAGATACCTCCATTACGCCACTGAGCCTATTCTGCAGTTATTTTCTACATTTTTAAGTGTTGCCGAAACAAAGAGCATTATTGCAGATGAGTTCATAACAAAGGCATCCAATATCTTAATTGGTTTCTTTTTGTTCCTAACTGGACTATTGTTCCTCTCACCCAAGAACTTGAGATGTTTTATATTTACTTCATTCTCATAAAAACAATGCCATTTTCACAAGGGCACAGTGCTGCCCCCGCTGCCCCCGCAGAGTGATATAGAAGCGCCTCTATATCATTGCTCAAACATCTTTTCACATCAAAACGAGGTTGTTCGAGAAGTTGAAATTCTTGAGAGCGTTGTTTGGGTTGGCCAACGTAAATTTACAGACAAAGTGAAAAGGCTGCTTGTTAGTAGGTTTTACCAGGTTTATCATCTGTTAAAAATTGTGGGTGCAGCTATGTTAGGAACCGATAGAAGTCTGGCATTTGCAAGAAGGAACAGACCAGGTGCCAAGGCAGAGGTTGGTTTTTATTTGGTCCTCTCTTATAAATTTTAGGCCCAGCAGCTGCACAGAAATTCATATAAAAGAGAAAAAGTGCCGTAAAAAGGGGTGACTTTGGCCCGCTTTATAGCAAATTTAAGGTAATATTCGTGCTATCAGTGTGCAGCCATATTGCATAGAATAATTTTTTATTAATACAATTTTTTTAAAGTATTTACACAGATTTCAAGTGTGAATAAGGCTGAACAACAGTTGCAGCAGTTCTTTTAAGTGTCGGGCCTACCTGTGGGGGATTTTAGCCAGCTATCATTTTTGCACAAAGGGACAAGGCCTGTAGCCAGACTTCATTCTTTGTGAACATGAATTCTGGTATACATAGATTACATAGACTGGCATAGATTGCGCAGCCATCTCCGCACATAACAAAGAATGCAGTCTGGGCATGTGGCCTGAAGAGGTGAGATTGGCCCAGCTGTGATTTAATACAATACCTTTTCTTTGCAAGACATTGAAAGATTTGGAACAGGGCATGGAACAATACCAATCTATACCTAATTCCTACCAATACTTGTATGCAATTGAATTCTTTTAAACATTTCTTAATATACTGCATGTTATTATTTTTGAAGCCTTACACACACTTTCATGTGTACATCGTAAGGTCAGTATTATTAGATAGATAAATAGATAGAGAGAAACAAACTCTAAAAGCTAGAAATTGCTAAATTCATGTTTGAAATTAGTAATAAAAAACAGAAATAATGCTATGGAAAATTAATTCAGTGCAACCAAAATGCTACAACAATACAACAAAAGACATTTTACAATAATACAACAAAATACAACAAATCAACTACAGTTAAGAAATTTTTCGTAATTTCTAAAAAATAAAACCCTGGAATTCGTTACCACCAGATCCAAGAAGTATTCTTTCAAATTGAAATTAAAAGTGTATCTACTGCACCCCAAATGGTTATATATCCTTCACCACTGCATTATTTTCCTTTGTTCGTATAACATTATTCACACTCTACAATTCTATAACACAATTACTTTTACTTTATATGTTGTTTAAATTTTCATTAACACTTTTATTAAATACATTAATTAAACAAGTCACAGCTAGGGCACATATGGCTTGATACAGGCCTGGCCGTTTGAGGCGAGCGATAGCTCGCGCTTTATTCCGACGTTTTATTCTCTGAAGATTGCTAGACGTATAACTTCAACTTGTTTTAAAACTTTTTTTCAAAGCCATTTTCAAATTCTGTACAACAAAAAAATTGTTTTGCAAGAGAATTGTTGCTTTTGTGTTGTGCCAGCTTTACATGAAACTGAAAGAGTCTGTTCTTTTAAATACTTCAAGTAAAGGGGGTGCCTAAGTCACGGTTAAAGCAAATACAAATTGAAAGAAGTAAAACAGCATACTCCTGACTGAGGCTATTAAAGGCAACCGACAGATACTAAAGGGGCTTATTAAGTCATCTGTCTATTGTCTTTAAAGTACATTCTATGTGTTACTGATTTAGCTCGCCTCAGCAAATGAGGGGAGCGATTCACAGCTCACCTATAAAAATACAAACGGCCAGGCCTGCTTGATACCTCCACTGAGTTTTATGTGTCTTTCAGGCATCTGTATTGCTAATTGCTGTTAATGTAGTCTGTTTAACTATTTCCACACTAAATTCTAAATTGTTAAGGTTGCCAGATGCAAAAAGCGTTGGATTAATGGGGCATGATTGCACATGCCCATAAATGTGGCAGCATTTGTGGACTGGGGCACAGGCTATAGAAAACTATAACAGACATTTTTGTCCCCTGATTTTAAGAGGAATATTGGGTGTGGTAAAATGATTTTACATTTTCGATCTCTAATTTAGCTAAAGTAGCAGATTTGCTGATTATGCTATAAAAATTAGCGAATTTGCAGATTTTGCTTCCCCTCCTATACCCTCCTCTCAAGATTTTGCTATGCTCTAAATCTAGATCTTGGCAACATTAAATTTGATGAAAAATGACCCATTATTATCTTTTATACATTATGGGTTATCGACTTCTGCCAGTGAAGTGCATAAAATAGCTATCTTGCTTGATAACAGAGGGCCCTCTGCGGCACAGATTTACATGCAAAAACGTTACGACCAGAAGAACGCCAAAACATCAATGACTCTGTTTGCTTATGACATGAATAACTATCTCTACTTGCAGTACCGTGTTTTTACTGATATATTAAATAAGCTCAGTTTATACTTATGTAGGAAAATGCTCAAATCTTCAGAAATACCACATTTCTAGTTAAAATGTAAGTAGTGGTGGTAAGAATTCAGTGAAGTAAATTTTGTTAAAACTTTTGCTGTCATCATTTTTGTGCTGGCAATTTCTGCGTAGATCTATCATAATTATCATAAATTTTTGCGATGTCACATGTCACATGCCACCACACGCATGGATGTTTTCAGGTGTGAGGTGGTTAAGCACGCCTGCTATATTTTTCCCATGAAGGTCTGACCATTGGCAAAAACATCATGAAAAGAATAAACGTCTTTGAGATGTGAACATACAGGAGAATGCTAAAAATATCCTGGAAAGATAAGATCACAAATGTAAATGTCCTGGAAAACATCGGAAATGAGAGCACACAACTGGAAAGCATCTTAAGAGTAAGGAAACTCAGGTTTTTGGCCATCTCACAAGAAGAAACAACATTTCAAGAATACTGTTCAAGGGAAGAATCAAGGAAAGAGAAAAAAGGGAAGACCTAGAGTGATGTGGACAGACCAGTGGCGGATTTAAGGGGGGCAACTAGGGGCAGTTGCCCCTCCCTCGACGAGTTGAAGCAAGTATGGCGCCCTTTTTTTGGAAATTGTGCACCCCTTTTGAAGAATGAGAATCAGGTGAAAAAGTTTCTGAGAACAATAGGTTGATTTGCTTCAAGGATTACTTCAAAGTTATTTTGTTTATTCCGAAAATGGATCTGAAATTGTTGTATACAGCGTTCTCTCGTCGTCAATTTTTGAAAAATTTTCAGCGCCCCAACTACCAACTGCCCCTCCTTCAAGTTTGCTCTGGATCCGCCCCTGGGACAGACAATATAATGGCTTGGATTGGCATGAAATACAGCAAGGCAGTAAAAACAGCCAAACGACAGAAAAAAATGGAGAGCAACCATATCCTCACACCCTGCAAAGAAGGGAACATGAAAAGAAAAAAAGATTCTGATATGCATAATCAGTTTCCTGCAAAACCGTTTGCAATGAAAGGAATCTTTTCCCCGTAGCCCTTTAGAGATTTGCAGACTATTCTAGTTTGAAAACCCTATCTCCACATTTTTGTGATCTAAGGCCCTGTTCACACGATACCGGGTTCATTTCGTATCGGATCGCTTTTCATATCGGATAGGCCCTCTGTTCACACGATGACGCTTGAATCCGATACGCTCCGTATCGTTTTTGCGGAGTCAAAACCACCGCTGTGAATTTGGAATGGAATCATATCGGATCGCTTCTGAGCTCGTGAGAACGCATGAATCCGATACGGTTTGCTCCGGAACCTCTGTTTCGAAAAGGCAGCCCCGTTTTCGGGGTTTTTAAAAACAGTTTGGCACTCTTTTCAAGACACAAAATCACAGTGGATCGCAGTTAAACAATTAATATGCTCCTTGCGATGATGATGAGCTTCACAAGATAAATGCAAAGGAAAATGAGATTGTTTGAAAATTGATTTCGAAACACTCCTTCTTCAAAACAAAACAGCGCATCAGTTCCGTCACGTCAAAGAATGCATTCAATCAGAAAAAGAGCAAAACAACGAACAACATTCCACGTTGCTATGCGACTGCTTCAAGACAATGGATTTTCTGTATAAAAATATGATTGAGCATTTTTAGAAATTTTTATCTTCTCACACAGAAAATTTCTTCATGGCCTGACCAACCTTTCGATGAAATGGACAGCACATTGGCAGTTCAACAGGTTAGGTGAATTATCTTCTTTCTCTTTTGAAAATATAATTTCTTGCATAGGCAGAATATCTACCAGAATCCTTCATTCATAACTATTTATAAATATCTCAACAAGCAGTTATTGTATGAAATGTAAACTTGCAAATTGTCAGCAATAATTCATAGTGAACACTCTCCTCATGAAAGTATCCTGACGGTTTGATGATTCCAATCGCTTGGCACTACAACTGTTTTTTGTATTACTAACTAGCAACCTAAATGCTGGTGATTTTTTTCAGGTACATATAAGAGCAACTTATCNATCGCTCCCCTCATTTGCTGAGGCGAGCTAAATCAGTAACACATAGAATGTACTTTAAAGACAATCGACAGATGACTTAATAAGCCCCTTTAGTATCTGTCGGTTGCCTTAATGTAATTGCCTCAGTCAGGAGTGTGCTGTTTTACTTCTTTCAATTTGTATTTGCTTTAACCGTGACTTAGGCACCCCCTTTACTTGAAGTATTTAAAAGAACAGACTCTTTCAGTTTCATGTAAAGCTGGCACAACACAAAAGCAACAATTCTCTTGCAAAACAATTTTTTTGTTGTACAGAATTTGAAAATGGCTTTGAAAAAAAGTTTTAAAACAAGTTGAAGTTATACGTCTAGCAATCTTCAGAGAATAAAACGTCGGAATAAAGCGCGAGCTATCGCTCGCCTCAAACGGCCAGGCCTGTATCAAGCCATATGTGCCCTAGCTGTGACTTGTTTAATTAATGTATTTAATAAAAGTGTTAATGAAAATTTAAACAACATATAAAGTAAAAGTAATTGTGTTATAGAATTGTAGAGTGTGAATAATGTTATACGAACAAAGGAAAATAATGCAGTGGTGAAGGATATATAACCATTTGGGGTGCAGTAGATACACTTTTAATTTCAATTTGAAAGAATACTTCTTGGATCTGGTGGTAACGAATTCCAGGGTTTTATTTTTTAGAAATTACAAAAAATTTCTTAACTGTAGTTGATTTGTTGTATTTTGTTGTATTATTGTAAAATGTCTTTTGTTGTAT